GCAACACCAAAGGCTGGAACAATAGACCAACCAGACTACAACCATCACTATCGAGATTCGAGATCGTTCAGGAAAGGCGTCATTCAGAAACTTGTTATATCGACTGGCAAACGTTAGGCTTCTAAGCCCCAATGCCTCCTCCGTACCTCTGCACACCCTCCGAGAAGTCCTTCAGAAACTCTTTCTCGTCCAGAAGCCTCTTCGACATCTTGGATGAAATCGAACCCTTGACAGTGCTCAACATCGTCGAGTTCGAGAGGACGTACACTCGTTGATCAGGCAGATCGGCCCTGCGTAGGTTCTCTCGCACAGTTTTCTTCGTCTCGCTGACGAAGCGCTCCCGAGCCTCAGCCTCAAACTTCGCCCGACTTCTAGCGTCATGCTCGTCGTCGTCGCTATCGTATCCCAAATCGATCATCACGTTACGGATATGCGCATCTGCCTTGGAGCGTACGATGTAGCATGGGATGTTAAAGAGACGGGCATTGCGGAGGATGGCGACATCGGTGACCGTGAACCGATTATCGAAGAGGACGACCAGGGCGTCGAAGATGTAGAGCCCCTGGTCGTTGAAGTACTGCCAGTCGTGCACTTGCAGTGTCCCAGCACCAGGGATGTCGTACCAGACGATGTGGTTGGTCGGGTTGGCGTCAGGAAATCGAGCCATCTGCAAGGTCGTCTCCGTGATGCCGGTCGCAGCTGCGTTTGCTTCCCCACTGCGTAGGCCGCGGAATGCGTTGATGAGCGACGATTTGCCGCTACCCGCAATCCCCGTGGCGGCAAAGTGGTAGTAGCCCTCGCGGTACCCTACTCGGCGCCTGGCAGCTTCGAGGTCTGCAGTGGAGGGCATGATGACAGGCTGGATGCCCTCTTGGAGCTGACGCTCCGCCTCTTCCTTTGCCGCATGAGCACGGCTAGCCTCCTCCGCTGCTGCTCGGGCCGCAGCCTCAGCAGCCTGCTGTGCCTCGACCGCCTTCCTCTTCTCCTCGGCAGCAATCTCTCGCTGCCTCTGCGCTTCCCGTTGAGCTGCCTCCGTCGACCTCCTCGCTTCTTCTCTCAGTTGGTTCTCCCTACGCTCCGCCTCCTGTCGCTGTATCTCTGCCTCGCGCTGCACAGCTCCTCGGGCCTGTTCCGCCTCCTGTCTAGCGCGCTCTGCCTCCGCCCGCGCCGCCTGCATGGCGGCCTCTGCTTCTCGAGCTTGCCTTGCCGCCTCCTCTGCCTGCCTTTCACGTTCCTCAGCTTCTCTAGCGAGCCGCGCGTTCTCCTGTGCCTGCCATACCTGTCTCGCTGCTTCTTCGCTTGCAGTCTGAGCTGCACATTCGCGTTCTTCTTTTTCACGTTGAAGTCTATTGGCCTCTTGGATATGGCGTTGTGCGTTGTTGCGGCGCATGAAGACCCGGGCGCTCATGCTGTAACTTTGTAGAGCGGTGTCAAGAGGATGAGGGGTTGGAAAAATGCGTACGGTGCTTTCAACTAAGTGGGTGTAGACCGCCGTCCGCGACAAAATGCAGGCTTTTTGGGGCCAACGAGGGTTCTCAGTAACAGTTAGCGTACCCTTCACAACGATGGTAATAATAAAGCAATTTTTTGAGAATGATATAAGTCCTTTGCAGTAAGCACTCACTCTGTGACCACTGCAAGAAGCCGCTCACCCTTAGCCCATACATATGTAATTGGTTCTACTGATCCCAGTTTGGGCGACTTGTTAATCATGTATTTGACTTTTGTTGGTAAGGTAAAGTTTGCGTACCAATGCAGTAAGTTAAACAGGGAAGGCGACTCCTCTCGGTCGCGAAAGTGGATGGCGCGCAGGTCCGCGTCTGGGAGAGGAATAGTAGCAGTTTGGATCTGGATGTTAGGATTGGGTTTGCTTCTGCATTGACCAAATATGCCGATGTATAGCATGCGAAGTCGGTCCTGTGCATCAGTCTGAATGGACGTCCCAACTTGCCCGTGCAGTGTTACCGGTCAAGGGTGGAGGTAGATCATTGATTAGTTTGTAGTTTCCTGTGTCGGATCCAAAATTAAGTAAGTTCTTTCACTAGTCTTCTCGACGAGGTTGTCGTTTAGCTGGAACGTGCCTGTTCGTCTCCGAAGCTTATATTGCATCCCCACATCAGAATGAACTGCCAAATATCTATGGGGCTCGGAGTATCTGCTCCGTCAGAACCTTGTTCTAGATTCAGGCCATTTCCCCTTTTAACATCATAACTTGTTCGTATTGGAAGCTAGAATTTGTGCGCCATCCCTCTAGAAGCTTGACATGTGGACTGAAAGTCCCGAGGATCAGTTGGGGGTACCCCGGTAGAAGCTTGATAGTATGACATACTCAAATATAGCCAGTATGTATGTTAAGGAATCCACGGAGCCCTTGGTGATAGATTGAGGAGATATCGATGTCGTACATGCTTTAACACAGCTTCTGCACAGCAAACGTCTACAAGTACTGCTGATGAACCTTCTTCAATCTAGACGCCGGTGTAATCATAATCACCTCGGATAGAAGTTGTTTCTCCACCGATTGTCTGGGCATACAAACGCTCAAGTTTCCAAGCGTATTTTACCTTCGAACTCATCCTTGAATATTTTAGTGGAACATAGTACTTGTTTCGATCATGGCGTTTGTGAAAACGAGTCCCGAACTGGATACACCTCATCAGTAAACATGTGCAAACCGAGGCGCGCTAGGACGCCACCAATACACCGAATAGACATGTACTTGTTACGAGAAGCAGCTCAGTATCATGCACAGCAACGACGCCACACGCTATCCCTTATCCTCTCATTAGGAGCAAACAACACATCAAGGTTTTGGACCCGTCTAACTTTACGTCCTTCTTGGCTCTGACGGGCGATGCATTTTGAACTAATATTGATTGGCAAATATTAATGTATTAGAAAACATACGCAGTGTCCTCCGAGGGGCACCTCTCGAATTCAGCTCCAAGCTATTGAAGCTGAAAGACTGGGTATAATTCCGGGAAAACATATCTCGTTAGCAGGCTATGATGAGGTCTGAAACAACACTCATGCACATCGTTCACCGACGCTGATAGCTACGGCATCCGCGGACGACCACGGAGATAGAATATCCATGAGAAAGACCTTGTGATAGTGGCGTCGACCCCCTATATGCTCCATGATCAACATAAACGTCTTTGTAGGTCTCCACTAGCGACTGTCTCCAGGAATACTTGACTCAGAGCCTGGTTGGAATGCAGTCTGTCTGTATGTGTACAGCAAGCTGCAATGTGATGCAACCAGACAGCCAGCACTGTCCAAAGCTGTCAATGGTAATTGACCTCTGACGGGTTGACTTCACTCGGGCTGTTGATCATTAGTGCTAGCTACCCGTGGTTTGTACACATCTGCACACCAAGATCACCGCAAGGTCTGTCGATCGTGTGCAATTCACTGCCCCTCGCACCAGCGTCTCATCAAGAAGTTATAAGCCTCTTGAATCACGACCTAAAAGGACTACCTCAGTGAGATACAGTTCCCTCCGATTTCCCTCTCAAACGCCAAAACACAAAACGACGTGCTTTCCTACTATGGTATATCTACCTCCGAGCGCGAGTACCCTGATGGGCCCGGTGGAGATTGGCATTGTATTCAATGCCTTATTGACAGGATGCTCGATAGTGCAGGCCTACGTATATTTCACAATGCATTTTGATGACAAATGGTTCTTCAAATGCCTGGTAAGTAAAATTGATTATCCTTTGTATGTTGGAGCCGCCCTCGCTGACATATGAGGTCAATAGGTCATTGTAGTGATGTACGTGTAAATTCTTTTGCCTTCCCAACAATTTTTCGCCATGTGAACCCTTCAAATGTTGAAGTACACCACTAATATACGTGTTATGTGGCTTTAGGGTTTTAGAAATATTCAAATTTGGTGTTGAACTAGTCGCGCTGTGGGAGTGGACCGTGGACGTTGTAGAAAAGGGTGCCTCCGTATTTGCGACCATTTCCACATCCGCTGAAATCGTGGGCTATCTAATGCCTATAATGGAGCTCATAGTCGAGGTCAGTTCAATGAACCTTACTGTTGCTTTTTCATTCTTAAGAACGGTTACTTCCAGTCGTTCTTCCTCTTCCGTTTGTGGAAATTCACGAGGGCACTTGTTCCGTCGCTGATAGGTCTTCTACTTCTGCTTGTCGCCGTAACCCTTGGTTTCGTTGCGCTTGCACGAACGTACTCTGTCGGGGATCAGCTAGTCTCCGCTACGCAACCCACTACTCGTGTTCTCATAGCTCTAGCTTTTGGCGCACACCTTCTGTGCGATGCGTGGACGTCAGGGCTTGTTGTTATACATCTTCGCTCGCAGCGTCATACTAAGCTGTCTAAACTGTGAGGCATGCTCATCTATGAATCTGAATTCCCAAACTAAACATTCCCTAAAAGTCAATGGCAGACATGCTCATTCTGTGGACCGTCGGTAAGTTGTCCTTGTCTCTTCAACTTCTAGATCTGTGAACCATGAAACTGACTTTAAATCATGCAGAACTGGTATTTTTACGAGGCAAGTTTATATTTCCACTATAGTCGTGACGTTCACTAACTGTCAAGCCAGCTTTGTTATGTTTTTGGTCCTAGTATTTGTGAGTACTGAGAAACCACATGCCGTACAAAGACCTCATATTATTCAGTACTTGCTCTTTGGCTCTACAAACTGTATGCACAATACCTCTTAAATCGTCGAACTCATATGCTTACTATGATCATAAGATGTCTGGTTGGCTCCATATGTCAACATCGGATCGGGTGGGTCTGTTTCACAGCAGATGATGTGCATTGTGATCTGACATTGTTCTAGTATATGCCAATGCGTTGTTAGCAGCGTGGGTGCCGCTTTTTCACTCACATATTAGTTTTTGCTAACTGAGTGGAGATAGAATGAACGGAAGATGGATTGTTAAGTCTCATCTCGATGGCAATGACGCCTATGGGGAAATGTCCGCTTAGGCTGGTACGGATACAGGCTATGACAATGACATCCATTCCTTGCACGTATATTGGTGTTTCTATTCTAAACCTTTTGAAGAATAAAGAATGTACAGGCTAGCATTGAATGCCAGACGCCGGGTCTGCATTATATACCATGATATGATAGCCCAAATGTACGATGTATCAATGTCCCTTTTTAGTTCCTTGGTTTCTCGCCCTTCTTGACGTATAGACGCGCAAAGTTGAATAAAACCTGCTTACGCGAAGACATATGCACTTTGCTTGCAATGTAAGCAGTTGGCAAGGGTGAGTTGAGGGCGAGACGCGACTCGGAAATGTCGTCGGATCAATACCCGACACTATCATCCCACGCCCCCCGCACGCTATAACTTCAACGTGACCTCCGCTTTAATTTTACCTCTAGCTTTAATCCAGAGTTCAACAAAATCAGGCTCCAGCGCATACACTTGGTCACCTATAGTGGCGCTCGACTGGCTCTAAACAACGCCGAATCACTTGATGCATGGGCGTCTTCGAGGAATGGATGGTTCGCGCCACGTGTGAATTCATGCGCAACAACCCAGGCGCGGTGTTTTGACTTCGCCTTGCCTCAGTCAACCTCATGTCTCCCCAAGTAAGTAGTGTTGTTTTTACTCTTACTCATTGTTGAGAATTCACAGAGGAATGCAACACCAAAGGCTGAAACAATAGACCAACCAGACTACAACCATCACTATCGAGATTCGAGATCGTTCAGGAAAGGCGTCATTCAGAAACTTGTTATATCGACTGGCAAACGTTAGGCTTCTAAGCCCCAATGCCTCCTCCGTACCTCTGCACACCCTCCGAGAAGTCCTTCAGAAACTCTTTCTCGTCCAGAAGCCTCTTCGACATCTTGGATGAAATCGAACCCTTGACAGTGCTCAACATCGTCGAGTTCGAGAGGACGTACACTCGTTGATCAGGCAGATCGGCCCTGCGTAGGTTCTCTCGCACAGTTTTCTTCGTCTCGCTGACGAAGCGCTCCCGAGCCTCAGCCTCAAACTTCGCCCGACTTCTAGCGTCATACTCTTCATCGTCGCTATCGTACCCCAAGTCGATCATC